CGTTTACTGAGGTATTTTTAATTTTGCGCCGCCTCCGAAAAGGTTGAAATATATTTAATATACTACTTAACGAGTAAATAGGTTTCATTCATATCTGTTACGTAATTGTATGATTGAATGAAATAGAAATTACTTCATTAGGAAATAGAAATTATTTTATACTTTTTAGTGCATTTCGAAGTCGGTGTATTTTTTTTCTAAAAATTATTTTATTTCTAACATAACCATGAATTTGCTTTTACGCGAGTTTTTTCTGAACATTCTGTGTAAAAAGATATTAGATTACAATGTAGAAAGATTAATAGTTCTTTGTTGATTAAAAGCTTTATATAAACTTTTTCACTTGTCGATTTGAAATAATTCACGAACTTATTTTTAATATAAAATTAATACATTTTTATCTAGAATTCTCCAAATAATTGATTTGTGCAATTTATATAATTGATTTACAACAGAAGAGAGGGTACTATTAAATGCTTTATTTTAAAGGTATCAATGCTACTTGCGACGGCAATGCAGATTGTAAACGAGAATACACGGAATGTGTGGCCAACATTTGCGTTTGTCAGAGAGAATATGTAGGTGCAGTTGATTTGTGTTTACCAGGTAATGTAATTTTTATACATACTGATAATTAAATAACAAAGCGTAGAACTTTGAATTACTAATAATAATTATTAATAAGTGTGGAACTTATTGAACTTTAAATTTAGGACTTTATATTGTATATTTGGAACTACAATATTTAGGATTAAAATTCTATTAATATTATTAATGTTATTAGTATTTCATGTATCGTATAGCATATATTGTATATCATACATATATCGTAAATCATATATTGGGAATTATATATCGTATATCGTATATCATAAATTATATATCGCATGTCATATATCACGTATCACATATCATATATCACGTATCACATATCATATATCATATATCACATATCACATATCATTTATCACATATCACATATCACTTATCACATATCACATATCACTTATCACATATCACATATCATATATCGTATTTCGTATATTATCGTGTATCATATACCGTCGTCTGTTTGGACGTTAACAGATAAATCAACTAATACAGAAATAAAATCAACCACATTTTGATTTAATTTGTATCAGAATTCAAATAAAATGTTGTATTAATTCTTTTTTCAGTTTCGTTATTTGGGCAGCCATGTTCAGAAGACATTCAGTGTAGAGTCCATACAATAAATAGTGTTTGTTTAAGTAACAATAATTCAACAGAAGATTTAGTATGCAGGTGTCCTGATGGTTATCACTATAAATCTGGTGGATGCTTCAAACGCAAAGGTAAGTATACGATTTTACTAAAATCGTTTTAAAATTGAAACTAAATTTAAAACGAGCAAAACTATTCGATGTAGCCATTTCTGTAATCTTTTAAAGGAAACTTCTGAAGGTTCTCATTTTTAAATTCCTAGATTTCTACGTCTCTAGATGTGTTAGTCCCTAAATTTAAAAATGTCTAAATTCCTGAACCAAAAATTTCATTTCATAAATCTCTTTTACAAGTTTTCAAATCCTTTAATTCTCCAATTTTTAAATTACCAAATTACTGAATTCCTAAATTTACAAATCTCTAAATTTTTAAATGTTCAAATTTTTGAAATTCCTGAATTTTCAACACTTCAAATTCTGAAATTTTCCAATTTTTCAATTATCAAATTTTCGAACTTGGTAATCGAGTTTCTAAATTCATTTCTAAATTATTAAACCTGCAAATTCTTAGATTTCTTAATTCTGAAATTTCGAATGTCTGAAATTTATTTGCGAACTTTCAAGCTCGGTAGTCTTCATATTTCTAAATTTTTAAGTTTCTATTTAGAGCTAACTTGGATCCATCAGACATTTTGTTTTGTTTTAATAATTAACATAAGCGTTAAATGAATTTGATAACATGATTTAAGAACACGCAACATGCAATACATATAGCGGTAATTGATATTGCTGTAACATGTGCTAGCACTATGCTATAATAACACGTACAAAGTATTTTAATATGTAATCACACAATGAATTAAAAATTAAGAAAATTATAATCTCGGTTAATTAGCTAATTATGGTAGTAGCGTAGGTAGTAGTATATTTTAAATACTTCTAACCCTAAAAACACGTGTTTATTATTCAATCTCATAATACGTTAATAGAAAAACAAAAAAGGCGATAAATATTTTATTTTGAATCTATCAATTGACAACAATCAGTTGAAATGATAATTAACTATTTATTGGATTGTTGAACATACATCAACTTTTTCTTTTATAAATATAGAATATATATGTTACATTAGTTACATCACATTAGAAAATCTAGATTTAAGAAAAAATGACAATGACATAACTTTAGTAATTTTTCCTTGTATTTGTAGCAAAAATAATTCATGGCTAAATGTTAAATTTAATTTATTATAGTCTTCAAGTTTATTTAAATACTTTATAGTTTATAGGATAAATAAGTTCGCGGCTTTATAGGATAAATAATTATTTTATATCTACACATTATAATGTATATCATAACATTATAATATAAATGAAACTGGTTTATATATTAATTTCATAAAATATTATTTTACAAATATTTTATATATTCATCACATAAATTATTATAAGGTGAAGTGGGGTAAGCGCAGACTGGTTTTTGTGAAATTGGTATTTAAACGTAAGTATTTTCAGTCTGCTATGTAAATACTTAACGTTGTCGATATCGAACGATTTGCATAATTACTACTATTTAATTAATATTAACTAGGGCCTTAATTTTCCTCGTACATTTTGATTTTGATAGGAAATTGTTTAAAATGTCAACTACTCTGCACTTTCCCCGAAAATGGGGTAAGAGCGTAACTTCAAGTTAAATACTTTGAAACTTTATTTCATATGCAATGGGGCAAGAGCAGAATTACTAATAAATCTGCTATAAAATGCTTTTTACTGCATTATGCAAGTATTGTATACTGCGAAAAATACTCTTAGCTGAAATATAAAATAAAACAAGGAAACAAACATACTAAATGGAGAAATTACGCTCATATTGTAATAAGAATAGTCTGTATACGCACTTGCCCCGTTTACGTAAAATAGCTTATATACGCACTTATCCCCTTTACGAATTTACCCCACTTCACCTTATTATCTTATAAACAAATAAGTATTATTTATATTACTAACACGTCATGTAAATTCAAATAATAAATGTCCAATACATGAAGGAAACAGAAACAAGAATTTTAATAATTCCGATATACCGTTCTGATAATAAAAGTTTGTAAAAGAATGACAATAGGTCGACCAAAGTCAGAAACATGGTTGCAAGGTAAGGCAAGACATTTTATATGACTGCAAGCTGAAGAATTTTTATCGTAGCGTAAATTTTCCGGTAACAATTGACAAATATGTAAATTAATCAGAATATTCTAATTAATGTTTCAGTTCTTGGTATGAATTGCGATAGTATCTTGGAATGTTATCTGGATGCCGACGACAATCGAGCGGTCTGCAAGAATTCGGTGTGTTCGTGCGATTGGAATTACGTGCAAGTAAACAAAACTATATGCGGCAATAAAGGTATGTTTGTATACCAACACCTAAAACAATAACTTTATTATTCCAATATTTTCTACAAATTTTAGTTTCATACGTTTATTCGCTAATTATTCTATCACAGGAGTCCAATATTTTTTATACATTTTATTTTTAAATACTTATTTATATTTTGGATGAATTTTATGTACTGTACCCTTAGTATCCCATTATAGGAGTCTAACATTTTTTTATAAATTTTAATTCTATACGCTTATTTGGGTCTTTCATGAATTTTATTTACGCATTTATGGTACTTCTTCAATTTTGATCACTATAAAATCTGTGCTAAAATTATCTACAATATCAGATCCACCTCAGTGCAAAATTTCATGGAAAAATATTCAGTACTTTTTGCGAGATGACACGATATACGTAACTTTAATTTTAATCAATTTATAAATAAAATATAAGTCTGTGGCCACCGAATTAGGACCAGTACAAATTTTCAACCTTTTTCGCGTTTTCCGTAAAATTAAAAGGGCTGTTCAATTTGTAATGATACAATGTATTAGCGACTATCATAATATGCTACTGTAAGCAATATTATTAATACATGTTAATATCTTGTATTTCCACCTTTCGCTTTGGCCACAGCTTGTATTCGGCATACTTATTGTCAGTATACATTGATCATATGCTTTATATCTTCATTATTTTTCCAAATATCTCTAATTCTTTTCAACACGGATAATGTGGTTGGAGAATTGTAAATTAATCTTTTGAATAGGCTCCAGACATTTTCTATAACATTCATCAAATATCATCTCAGGCGCTATTGGCACTCGAAGCTGACGCAAACGTTCGCACGACCTTTAATCATCTCAAGACGTATTTAGTAATAATTTGCATGATCTAAGCCAATTTTCCATATACGACAAGTAAATAAAAGTTAATATATAAAAGTTGATAAAAGTGAAATTTTCATACGTGATCGTAATTCGATGGCCAAGAACAATATTACGTACACACGCAGTTCAGTTGTCAAGAGCATTTAGCACTAAAGAATTTGAGAAAGTTCCATTGCATTTGATTTTCAACGATAAAGAAGCGAGAGGCAAAAACTTTAGCCACCGTGTTTTTTGGTTCGCTTATGAAATTCTTTAATGCGGCAAAGCAATGTGCTTCCAATTACCTTCTTGCAGCTCGCATGCCTTTCTCGAAGTTGCGTTGCAATTGCTACGATTGCAAAGCGCGATAAAGCATGTCTGCAAAGCGACGAAACCCATTTGAAATAAACCCCTTCACGGAACGTAGGGTAAAAAACGAGCAGTTTCTTTGAAACTATGATTTTTCTCTTATTCTTCCTCTGGTATTTTGGGTTTTATACTCTTTTTAATACTGTGTACGTAATGAATCTAATTTCGTGAAATGTCACAGCAAAGTAGAACGTTGGTACATTTATGAAAACGTTGTTGCCATTGCATGAATAAAAATTTATTATGATATCAGTAAATTTAGAAATGAAATAAAGTATTAAACTGGTCTATGTAATGTATCGTTTTTCGAAATGTTTGAGTTTTGGCGCTAAATTTTGGAGGTTCCATTTTTTCAGTTCAAACTTCTGCCACACAAATTCGTTATTAAAATTATACCTACGTTTCTTATTAAGTCTGCATTTTAATTTAAAAATAAAGTAATACATGGTAGTATTAATTATATTGTTACTAATTTTAGTTAATATGGAAATAATACTATATTATTATTACCCTAACAATTATAGCAGACTTTTTTATACCAACAAATAAAAGTATGATATCAAAGTTTTTAATAATATTATTACTAGTAATAACAAACGAAGGCATCATATAAAATTTTGATAAAAACTCTATCTTTTCAAGATTTAAGTTTCTAAATGAAAATATTATTAACAAACAATTCTTAGTATTTGTTAACAAATAATTCACAAGCTACTTAAAATAGTAAAATTATGAAAAACTACTGAAATTTTTAAACATTATCGATTATTGCAATTTATTATTCAATATTTAAATATAAAAAATGGCATTTTTGTGCGAAGATTGTTGTTCCTATTTTATTTGAATTACCTTGAAATATAGATTACAGAAGACACAAAATTACATTTTATTAATAATTTTTATTCAAAGATTGCTGGAATAGAATTTTATTCGACCAATGTAATTCCGAAGTTATTTTTATATGACCATAATGACCGGGTAAATTATTAATTATTATTGAGAAAAATGAAACAATTAATGTTCGTGTAATTATACATATAATTATGCATGCGATTAAATTCATATAATTGAATAATTTTTGTTATTTTCTATATGTTTATTGTGCACATTGATATATCAATATTAATAACTTTCAGTCAAAAAAAATATATATTTATTTTTTCTTTTCATGTATTTCAAGAAAATTATAAACATTATTATTATTTCTTTTTTAGGTAACAGTTCTGCAAGTGTGTCAACGTGGCTGCTCTCATTACTATTATTATTAGTAGGTTATGTGTTTAAAAGTTGAACATGTTGCATGAGATATTTGTTAAAAATAAGAAAAAATTTCATATTTAAGTAAATGATAATCAAATCGAAAATAACTGCATATTTGTAAAAAATTTATTTTTACAAAAAAACTGATTTTGTTAAAATATGTGAAAATGATTTGCAATTGAGGATAAAATTAAGTTAATAAGTGTATTTTTTCATACTAAATAAAAAATACTATTCTTCTCATTAACAAATTCTTGTATTTTGAATTATATAATTGACACTTGTTGCCTTTTACAATAATATTACAAATTGTAATAGTCTATTGCTTTTTTTAAAACAACGTTCTATATTAAAAAAAGATTATTTTCTTGACATTGTAACCTGTACAGATTAAAATTTTTATTAATCAAAAATTTCTATAATCGTAAATTACTAAATAATTGAAGTTCTAACTAAATTTTTAGTTATAATAAGACTTTGGTAATTTGTTACTCTAATTTTATTTTCAACTGTGTATTTTGTATATTAACGTTTTCTTATACTTAATATATATTCCATTTCTATATGTATAATCAACAGTATTAGTAATGCTTAATACTACTATCATGTATTATTAAATAATGATAGAGTTGTGTTACATCTTAAGATATGTATTTTAAATAAATATTAAAATACAAGATAATACAATAAATTAAATAACAATGACTTTGCATGTATTTAACATTTTTGTTTATTTATACCTCAATTTTTTATAGCATGTGTTCCACTTCAATAAAATGCGCTTTTATAAATCGTATATTTAAATAAATTTAGTTATTTTATTATAGATTATATACTTATTAAACCTGTTTTTCTTATATTAAGTGATTATTAGACCTAACCTAAAAACAGTATAATAGCTACAATAAGATTCGTCACTCGTGATATCTTAATACAAACCCCTGATAAGTGCGTTATCAACACTGGATTTACGATAAGCGGAAAAAGAAAATAGTTGTACAACGTAAACAGAAGAACAATAATTAATCAACTCTTTCGTAACATGATATCAGTTTTCGTGATCAGTCAAGTTCATCGCCTAAATTAACAGGTAACTCGACAAAAAATTCCATTTTGTAAGGTCATTCCACGGTAAATCGATTACTTCCTTGACGTCGATGCTAAAGATTTTATTTCAAATGAAATATGATGTCGTGGGCGTAAAATTAAGCCGTTATATTACTAGTTTTATATTTGTTTAAAAATTTTATAATTTTTATTTGATTTTTATTTCTTTTAAGCTTTATATTTTTAATTCGGATACTACTTAACGAATCAAGTTACTTTTTGGTTTTATTTCAATCTAGAATTTAGGAGAATTCACTTGCTATAATACCTTTTTTATATGCAAAATTGCTTTTGTTACGTTAAAAATTAGTGTGTGATATTTATTATATTGGCTGTTTCACATAATGCAATATTGCCGAAATAAAACAGATTTTACGTGCAAAAGTAATTTGAAAATACATAATAAAATTTTGTATGTTTTCATTTTTGACCAAACTAAATTTGACAGTGTCAAAATATTTAGAAGAAAAATCTACAGAAAATTTAAATAATTCTTCTGTTAATGCAATAGTTCATATAACGAATTCAATATCATTTTCAAATATAACTTGTTTAACATTGGTGTTTAGTATAATTTCACTCAAATATTTATATTTTTATTACAATAAAAACTTTTCTAAATGGATCTATAAATTAATATCGATTAATGTTATTGATCTATCGAAGGAATAATATATACGTTAAGAATCTTGCCAATAATTCAGCAAAAATTATAAAATATTCTTTTCGCCTATTTAGGGTGTTCCTATTATAATAACTAAAAGAAACTGTATTTTTCAAATCTTTGCAAATACAATCACATTACATGACACAAAAAGCTCCATATTTTCGTGTTTTTAATATTTTTATAGGTACAACAACGCACAAACAAAATGTTAATACACCATTTTCTTGGATCGAACCGCATATCATCTTTTATGTAAGCAGATCAATTTTTCGAAACACTTATAATCCTTTAATAGTTTCTAAGAGTTGATTTGCATAAAAAAACGAATTAAATAGTGTAAAAGCTATTCATGGATCTATTGCAGTATTTTCATATTATTGCTAGGGTGAAAATCATATCTATTAAGTACTATCCATTTATAAAACTTATAAAACTTGCCATAGCTGATACATGAAACACCCGTAGGAAGGAATATAATGAAACAGCTCAATGCCAATATGCCAATTTGAATTTTCAATATAATTCGTGACGGTAAGAACTCAAAGAATGTTTCATATTTTGTTTTTACATAAAACACGGTAAGATAGATTTTACGAGTACAGCACCCACCAGTGGACTTCACTACAGGGTGCTCTGGTCGCTTTAGACAGTAATAAATACTCTATACTGAATAAAGTCAAATTTTGGAAGATGCATGAGTGAGACAGACACTGATGTAAACAGGCAAGATGGCCGCCGCGAGACACTGTCTTTAACCAGTTGATATAATTATGAAATGTGTTACAATAAAATCTATATGTGTTTACTAAATCGATCGAAAAAATGCGCATTTTATGTTCTTTCTTTTGTTTTCGCATTTGCGATCGGGCGTCTTGTAGTTTACGCAATGTCACCGTACAATTAACAAGCACTTGTATGTTTTATTAAGTGTGCTCAAAACATGTAAATAGTTATGTCAATCCACTGCACTAAACTCTATCAAAATGCGTAAACATTAGTTTTACATAAGGTGAAGTGGGGTAAGTGCAGACTAGTTTTTGTAAAGTTGGTATTTAAACGCAAGTATTTTCAGTCTACTATGTAAATAATTGACGCTGTTGAAATTTTGATTTTGATAGGAAATTGTTTAAAATGTCAACTACTCTGCACTTTTCCCGAAATTAGTGTAAGAGCGTAACTTGAAGTTAAATACTTTGAAACTTTATTTCATGTGCAACGGGGCAAGAGCAGAATTATTAACAAATCATTATGTACAAAGCATTATGCAAGTACTCTATACTGCAAACAAGTATTCTTAATTTCGTCAATTTTGTTTTATAACTTACCTACATACTAGTATTTAAATTCGCCAAAATATTCAGCCAAAATCTCAGATTAATAAGAAAAGAAGGTGTTTCGGATATTTACGCAACACACTGTATTACTAGTGCGCTATGCACAATCAACTTACTTGTAGTTACGATCGATAAATGTAGATGTGCTATTAATACAAGAGCTGCTCTGAGTTTCTACGTTAACATGGAAATGTTCTTACGTGATTACCTGTAGCACGTCATATTTAGCACTCTTGATAATCGATGACAATGTACTCCTGATGCAACTGGTGAATAAGTACATTGATCTTCGAAAAGCGTATTCTCTGAAAGGTGAGTACGACTACTTTGAAAAAATCGATTACAGTTTTACTCATTGTCGTGGAGGAGTATATGTAATTTTACAAATATACCTATAAAATGAAATTGTCAAATTTTTGAACATATTTAGAAGAATTTGAAGGAGATTCAGTAATTTATTTGAAAAATGTTGAACGATAGAATTATTAAACCTGTGACAGAAATCTTAGATTTGCTATTATAAATTACATGAATTATTAAGCTGCTTTGTTTGGAATATTTACTTTATTAAAATAAAGAATGATTGTATTGGTTTATATGACATGTTTCATTTATTTTTTATTTTATTTTCTGTTTAAAAGTGTACACCGGGCTACAATGGTAAATATCACATTGGTATTGTACAAATCCTGCACTTTCATATTTCTAAATTTTCGAATCACTAGATTTTCGAATCTTAAAATTTCCGAATCCCTAAATTTCTGAATCTCTAAATTTCCGAACTTTCAAATTTTGGAAATTTTGCAGAATTGAATATGTAAAAATTGGGTATTTTTAAATATCAAAATTTATGACCTTCAAACTTGAAGTGTTATGAATTTGTGATTCCTATAATATTAAATATAAAATAAATTTCTAATGCTTTAAACCAGGGGTCGGCAACCTTTTTCGGATGGCGGGCCATTTTCAAAATAAAATTTTGTATGCGGGCCGCACATTCAAATGTAACTTAAATAGTGCTTTTCTATCATATACGAGTATAAATACATTAAAAATAACATGTATTTCTCATTACCTATTGTAGTGAAACGTCATACGGTTGTCAATATGAATGTGTTTACATGCAAAATGCACATATGAACATACAGTGGCGAAATGAAAGAATGCTACACTTGTTAAGCGAACCGTTGCGTCGTATTCGCTGGAGAGTGGGGACTAAACTTGCGCAGTAAAATAGGTTTCCCAATATGCTTCTGTTAGCGCGCATTTTTGTTCATTTTAAGTTTGTTCATTTTTCCTAAAATTATATTGGTGCTTTGGCGGGCCGCACAAAAAGTTGCAAAGGGCCGCATGCGGCCCGCGGCCCGCAGGTGCCGACCCCTGCTTTAAACGATGGTAGTCTGAAAAAAGGAAATTTGTATATTATTAAATTTTCTAAATTTTCAGTTTTCCATTAGTTTTAAAAATAAGTAAATGTGATATCAGCAAATTTTTGTATATTTATAAACTAGAAAATTAAAAATTTTGAAATTTTTATAATTTTAATTATTGTAATTTTTTATACATTTAAATAAGTTATCGCCCATTCAAGCAGATTATCATTTTCTGGTGAAATTTTTATCTTAATCTTCAAGGATATGCGAAGGTAATGGTATACTAGGTCGTTGAATTCGTTTTAACACGAGTTATAATGCAGTCAAGTAAAAAATACAAAGTGCCATTTGAAAAAGAAAAGAACATGACCTTGCCACTACAAAAAAACATTTTTCGACATTTTTTTTATTGCAATATATAGCCAATCAAAAACCAAGTATATTTTGTTCAAAATATTTTTTGTCAGATTATAAGTAGTTGAAAAATCGTGAAAAGTGTTGGGACACCCCATATATCATTTCATTCGCAAAAGTCCATACAATTGTTTCATGTCAAAGAGAACTAAATAACCACTACGATAAAACCATAAATCATCCCTAAATTGAAAAAGTTTGCAATTTTTTTTTAAATTGTAGGTAATAGTAAAAAACAATTTACGAATTCGTATTTATTTGTCGAAAGTCCGCA